TTTAAAAAGTACATGTAATTCTTTTAAACACTTGTCACCCATATTGCATATTTTAATAAAATTAAAGGCATGTATATATTATAATATATTTTAATTAAAAGTTGTTGTATTTGACTTTCGAGCTATTTTAATATATTCAATGTAGGATATTTGATAAAATCTCTCTCTCTCTCTCTATATATATCTATATATATATATAAAGATGGACAACAAAGCATTTAATTTTATTATCATGCATTAAATTTTATTCACCCTCCAAAATTTTCAGCATTCAATTTTATTTTTAAGTTACAAAATAACTTGATTGAATGTCATAAATTATGAGCATAAACCAATTAAGGGAGTTACAAAATTGTACTCAAATTTTAAGTCACACTCACTCATGAAAATGGCCGGGTGTATTAGCATAAAGAAAATGGTTGTAACGGCTCTTTCATAGCAATTACTTGATCAAAATCAATTTTGAGAATTATTTTCTTAATTCATATATTTTTTCATGAATTAAATTATGATTTTTTTTTATATTTTTATGTTTGTAAAGTATTCGTCTCTGTGCAAATGTACAGGCTGATTACTAGTATATATATAAAGAGCAAAAAAGCATTTAATTTTATTCTCATGCATTAAATTTTATTCTCATGCATTAAATTTTATTCTCCCTCCAAAATTTTCAACATTCAATTTCATTTTTAAGTTACAAAAAATGCCATAAATTATGAGCACAAACCAATAAAGAGAATTATAAAATTGTACTCAAATTTTAAGTCACACCCACTCATGAAAATGACCGGGTGTATTAGCATAAAGAAAATGGTTGTATCGGCTCTTCCATAACAATTACTTGATCAAAATCAATTTTGAGAATTATTTTCTTAATTCATATTTTTTTCATGAATTAAATTATGATTTTTTTTTATATTTTTATCTTTTTAAAGTATTCGTCTATGTGCAAATGCACAGGTTACAAACGAAGGGTGAAAGGGAGCAACCATATGAATGTAAACTATATATAATTACCTTACAATAGGCCTAGCTATAGAAAATTTAAAACTTCGAAATCAAGTTTTATAATGTTGTAGCATTTACACAAATATATTTATATATTAACATCATGCAATACTTAATACATAATTATATTCAATGTTGTATATTATGAACTAAAATATCATTATTGGTTTTGAAAATTTGTATAACACACAAATATTAAACCAAATATGGTTTAAAAAATTATCTTTTTTAACAAACCGATTGTAAGTGTGTCATTTTAGATAAAATCAATCGTATAATTTTTAAATAAACATTTAAATTTAAAATAAATAAAATTTGTATTTGTTTCTTATAACGTTTTTATATATATTTCATTTGAATATTTATTTTAACAATATGACATAAAAATTAGTGACTGCAAACACAAATGAAATGACCATGATTGAAATATTGATACAGTGATGCCTTTATATAAAAATATTTTTCAATTGAATCACCATTGTTGAATTTCTTTTGCTTTTTGCCACCCACAAAATATATAAAATTATTTTTCAATTGAACCACCATTGTTGAATTTCTTTTGCTTTTTGCCCACACAAACGAAAGCGAAGAAGGAAAGTGACTGATAAGCTGAAAGGCAGCCCCAAGCATCAAACGCCACCGAATCCTCTTTCTCCATCTAATCTGAGAATATTATCCTTTGTCGGCGGCTGTTCTTTACCTCCGGCGGTCTCTTGCTCTCAGCCCCGCCGTATTATTTCTCTCCTCTCCTCGCGGATCCTTTGACTTAATGGCGTCTTGATCAGGTTATTCTGCGCTCTTTATTGTTATTGTTTTTTTTTTCTTGATGTTAATTCGATTTTGCTGTTGTTAGTTCATATTTTGCTGTTGTTAATTCGATTTTCTGTTATGAGTCCTCGCTGTTTATTGTGAAAGGGCGAAAAATCGTTGTATTTGATAATATTCATGTATTCAGTAAATATTGGAAATTACATCTGGTCGCCTATCATCCATTTGTAGCAGTACGTTTTTGTGTAAGGGTTTTGTGATCATTTGATTTAGAATTGTCTGACGGCGTAATATTGAGAAATTTTTATCAGAGTTTGAATGTTTGGATTTCTGTTATGTTTAAAACGCATGTGTATTTCTGAAATTGATATCAAATATTCCTCAAAATCAACATGTATTTTTTCAGAAATGTAATTTCAAGGGATTGGAATTTGAACTGTTCTTTATTTCCCCTCAGAATTTATTTTGACGAATCTGGATATGAACCGGATGTCGATATATTGACACACGGGTTTTCTTGGCGTTATCTATCACAAGAGAAGCTTTTTTGAATCACATGAAGTGGTTGGTGGGTTCATTTGGTAGTGATTCGAAGGTACAATTTTGTGGTGAGAGTGCATTATCTTCTCATGAAATTTTGGTTATGACTATGAGTTACATAAGGTTGGTAATCCATTTTTTTTTTTTTTTTGTGTGTGTTTTGATGGACAGGTGAACCTTGGTGAATTGAATTCATTTTCAAGTAACTTTCTAGTTATAGTATTACATTCGACTTGCGCAATATATTAGAATCGGGGTACTAATGGCTGATGGAAATGAGCAACTCGAACTTAAATTCAGAATTTTTGATGGGACGGATATAGGACACGGGTCATACTCATCATCAACTACAGTTGCTACTCTTAAGCAACGGCTTCTTTCTGAGTGGCCTCAAGGTTGTGCTTAGGCTAATGTATATGCAGGTTACATGCTTAATCTTGTTTATGTCGTGTTAGAGAAAGGTTCTAGTTCTATGCCTGCAGCTATATCTTGTGTGTAGAATTTTTATTTATTTTGCTTAATTCTTTCTGAAATGTTAGGAATAATTACATAAACTCTTGAGATTTTTTATTACTTTGTCAATTAAAACAAAAAATATCTCCTTGAAAGTTTGTGATTACATTTCAAATGCCCCTCTCTTAGGGGTAGTTTTTGTGATTAAACACTAAATGTCATTTAGTCATCTTCTTCTGTTGTTTGATGAAGTTTGCTTTAGTTGTTAGTGCTTGTTGTTTTGGTTTGTCAGATTTACTTGGGTAGCTTCTGATTGGCATGATTATTTTTTATGACAAAATTTGCCTTGATAAAAAAAGAACAACAAAAGAAAGAGAAAAGAAAATTTAATAGAAATTGGAGAGGGTGATTACCTGCTAGTTATGTTGTGGACTGATGATATCATATATTTTTCTAGTTGTATCATATTGGATGTTATTGGTGATTGCAGATATTAGAAAAAGTTGAATTATGTAATTTTCAAATGACAGTAATTATGGAGACAGCTGATATTACTATGTATTTAGAGTAACATGGTGACTTGAATCGATATATAGAAAACTTTCACTAGTACTCGAATACTCTAGCATAGTTATGCGAGAACCTATCACAGTCGTTCGCTTGCTTATAATTCCACTACAAAGTCAGTTGAAGAGAAACAAGAAAGTGTAGGTTTATAATATTTTGCCCACATAATTCTCTCCCCCTATGCTCCAGCTGTTTTGCAGTTATTGTGGTGTATTAGAATGCTTCTCAAGTAATTGCTTTTCTCAAAATTCTATTAAGAATCCACTTTTAAGCTTTTCGCCCTCTCTTCATTTACAGATAAATCAGTTGTACCAAAATCGGTGGGCGATATGAAATTAATCCATGCTGGAAAGGTTTTGGATAGCGGGAGGACACTTTCCGAGTCTCGAGTGAATGTGGGTGACCTTCCAAGTGGGGTTATTACAATGCATGTTGTTGTCCAGCCTGCTGTTGTCAAGAATAAGACGGGTACTTTCTATTTATGTTAAGTGTGTGACAGTTCAGTATGACAAATTCTACAAGACTTTGTGATTTCTATTTCTTTTTTAGATTTACTTTGTTATTATTCATGTACCTTCTTATCTTATATCCGGTTGGGCTTTGTTTTTTAGTGCTAGTTGAGTTTCCAAAATTTCTTAAACTTTAACTTGTTCCATTATGACCTATTTTGTGTGTATAATAGCTTAGCTTCAATCATTTTCTTAGCCTTTTTCGTGATAAAACGGTTATTGATTTCTTCAGAATTTGCTGTCGAATCTCTCTCAGTGATTTAGTTTAAATGATATGTATTTATTTCATAATGTGTGTAGGGATGTTAGCGTGCATATCTTTTTGTTATCCTTAATTTTGAGGATTTAGATAATCTATTTTATATTATTTGAAGTAAAACAATGAAAAAAAAAAAAAATTGGAGATCTATACATTACATTGCTTGAGATCTGTTTTTGGGCAAATGCAGGTAAGAACCAGTCAGAGAAAGAAAAACAGGGCTCGTGTTCTTGCACTATCCTTTAGCGACTTTCGTGTCATGTCAAATAAGGAAAGTCCACTTCTCATGCTTTGGAAGAATAAAAAAAAAGCAAAAAATGAAAAAAGGCTGTCGTAACCTTGAATTTCATTCATACCTGTAATTGATTTTCTTCGGCATGTTTGTGCTAGTTTTTAAGCTGTGAATTGAGATTTGGTTTTGTTTTAATTCATACCTGTAATTGATTTTCTTCGGCATGTTTGTGATAGATTTTAAACTGTGAATTGAGATTTGGTTTTGTTTTGTGATCTCAGCGTCAGTCATTTGACAGCTGAAACTGAGATGTTGATTTAGTGTTGAAGAATGTTGTGAATGTATACTGTATTCGTTCAAATGAAGTAAGACACAAAGGTTATTGTATATTACCCTTTGATAGTTAATTGGGAGTGAGGCTAAAAGTGATTCTCAAGCCCTTATCTGTTCGGAAAATTGACTTCTTTTTCTATTTTGAAGCTTCAGCTGCTTTTCTCTTGCTATATTTGACGAGTTAAAGGCTTTTAACTAGAGAGAGATGGCTAATTGAAGCATGAGAAACAATATTTGAAATTGTTAAAAATATATTGTTTATAAAAATAATTCCTTATATATTACAAAAAAAAAGGGCCCAAAAGAGAAACAACTTGTGAAGGTTGTAACCAGTTAAACTAATGAAAGTATGAAAAAAGCAAAGGAATCATCAGCCAATGAAAACGTTAGTTCACAAAGCGATGAAATGTTAGGACAGAGCTAGAAATTGGTCAGCTTTTCCTTTTTGCCTTTTCCAGTCTTACTTTCATTTTCCATTTCCAATCTATTTCTCAACTCTTTCAACTCTTTCAATCCATAAAGGAAAAAAGAGAAATCAATTCATGATATAAAATNATTACCTGCAATATCCAACGACGAAAACCAAATCAAATAATCCCGAGTACTTTGCTTCTACAAACAACTCACCGGCCACCTAAACATCGCACAAGTCTACACATAGTATACAAAGTTTACTCTTTCGGAAAAAAGGAAAAAAAAAAAATACAGATTACATAACCCATAATGAAAACAAGAGCACAATGAGGCAAAAAGAATAGCTCCAGATGCAAAAATCTACAGCATACGGGCTTTCCTATATGACTCTTAACCACCGATCGGCAATTCCTCATAACCATCCCACTGCCACAGCAATTACACAAGGATTTTCTGATTCACAAATTACCCAACGTTTAGTGTAATCACAAAACAATAACAATATTAACAGAACTCACATATTAAAGAAAAAAGAGCACCGCCCTTGAGATTTCATTCCGTTGGCAATCCAGAAGTGAAACATTATTACGAATATAATGGCGCTTTTCTACATGCTTTCTTCACTTAGGACGTGCTAGGATACAAATATAGCCGTCCAAGACGAGTTCTTTTTGTTAACCAGAATTAATTTTTCAGTTTGTAGGTTAATTAGTGGGATTTTGAGTTTATATTAAAATAACATTAAAAATAATATAATTAAAGTTGATTTGATGTAAACGTAAGAGAGAGATGATGTGAAGTGATGATTAGTTAAAATTATGTAAGTAGATGAATAGTGAATTAAAGTTGATGGATTTTTAAGAATGATTGTTATTTAATTATATTGATAATATTGAGGATACTGGAATTAGATTAAAAGTTGAGTTAGATTTTGAGTAAGGATTGAGTATGAAATGGAAAAATTTATAACCAAACACCCTCTTATTTTAGGCAGAATTAGATCTCAAGAAAATTTCATAACAACTTTTAATTTCTCTTCAGTTTAAACAACAATATCCCAAATTTCTCAACACAATCATCATATATATAATAGTCTGTATAAATCAAAATCAGCAATAAGCAGAAACAGCACTTACTTACTTAGTTACTTACCCGCGCGCCTCAACCAAACCTCACACCCACATTCTCATCCACAGTCCGCACAAATCCCGGCATATCCAGCCTCCTCCCAGCCACCGTCCTATAAACATACAGCTTCTCAATCGGGCCGCTATCGGGCCTCATCTGAGGGGGACCCATCTCATCTATAACCTCCACATTAAGCCTCGGCATTTTCCGGCCCAAAACCTTACACGCCCCATAACTAACCGAGCAAGAAGACATCCAAAGGGATCGCATTGCCTCCAATTTCCCAGCATTCGCCAGCAATGCAGCATCCCCAAAAGGACAATCCCTAATTTCAAGCTTTCTCAAACTATCACAGCCCGAAAGCACATGGTGAAGGCCCGAATCACTATCCCCAGCAAAAGCTATGGATAACATCTCTAATTTCTTCGCATGAGTTCCAATATGCTCGAAAACTCGATCCGTCAAAAGCCCGGACATAGAAAGTCGCCTCAAATCCTTGCAGCTCTCGACAATTGCTCCGAATCCGGCGTCAAGTGGGTCGTGGGTCAGGTAATCCGGGGCTCGGGGCTCGATTATGCATAACCGGAAGCGAATGAGGTTGGGTCGATTTCGGGCGATGGTGATTAATGCGGCATTCGACATCTGGCGGCAGAAGTAGAGGACAGACGAGAGGTTGGGGCAGCCCTCGGATACGGAGACGAGCCCTTGTTCGGTGAGGGAGACGTTTGGTTCGGCCTCGAATGGGTCGGAAGGGAACACGCGAAGCTCTTGCAAGTGTTTGCAAGATATGGAAAGAGCTTCGAGGCCTGTGTCCTCGATGTAATCAAGAACCTGCGGAGATGATTGGTTAACAAGGTTTATTAATTATTAGTCGTTTTTTAACTTTTTCTATGCGAGTATGAAAAAAATTACCCGTTCATCGAAATAAATATATTGAATTTTAGTCCATTAACTTCCGATCAAAGTTTTGGATATTTTCAGTACTGTAAGGTATTGCTGTGCATCCTTGTAGGATCAAAATTAGTTAGCCACTGGAATAAGTGAACTGACTTTGAAATTAAGCCATGCAACAACTGACTCAGCAAGTCCCAAATTAGGAAAACACTACAATCCCAGGAGCATATTCTTTGTCCTAACTTAGGGTGTGATTGGATATAAATTCAATAAAAAAAAAACCAATCAACACTCAACTTTAACTCAACCCTTTTATCTTCAATATTATTCATATAACTAAATAATACTAATCAATCATCCATGCACATCACATTAACTTTATTTCACTATTCGTCCACTCGCATAATTTTAACTAACCATCACTTCACATCATCCCACTCCTACTTTTACATCAAATCAAATTTAATTATTTTATTTTAAATATTATTCTAATATAAACTCAAAACCTTACTAAGAACTAACCATACCTACCTTTTTCAAAACTAACTATGGTTAACAAAAAAACCCATCAAAATCAAATCAAATCCATATCCAATCACACCCTAAATGATTCGACATGAGCCAACTAAAGATTTCAAATTCATTCAAACAAGTGACTCTCGGTCCTTGCAAAACCACCGAACACTACACTACACCACATACAAGCCAGACAGGCAGGAAGAAAGAATATACATTACCCATAAACGCTGCAACTGCCGGCACTGACAAATAAGCTTCACAAGGTCAGAACTTTGAATTGCAGCGTAGCTCAAGTTTAGTGAAGTAATACCGGAGCAGACTGAATACATGGCCGGAAGATAATCTGGTACAACATCCCAGAAGCCAGACAAGCCTCTGAGTTGTTTACAGGCCAAAAATGCTTCGGACAAGCTTGAAAATAGATCAGATTCAATCTCGGCTGAACATGCACCGGTACCGAATTCTACTAACTGAGGGGCCCGAAGCAGTAGGTTCGGGAGCTTATCAAGAGGCACTGCACGACTCAGCCTAAGAGTCTTCAGATTGGTGCACCGTGAGACTAGGCGCTCCAAGGAAGAGAAATTCAGCTCCGACCCTAAGCAGGAAATGTTAAGCAATACAAGAGAGGTGCAGCTGTCGGGAAAATGGCTAAGCCAATGCCCGCTATTGTCCTCCACATCACAATCCCTTAAATCAAGTTCTCTAAGATTCCTGTATTGAAGAAAATACGCAATTATCGAAAGTGTTGTTGAGTCCAGTTAAGAACTGAGCATGTCTATAAGGTAATACTTGATGCAAACTAGAGCCCCTACAAGCTTGAAATGTTCAACCGCATCACAGTAAGTTAGATAACAATAACTTCCTTTGAAAGCAACTTCAAATGATTAGTAAAAGGCAGAGAAAAAAAAATATATTCCAGGACAGATAGAATCAACTCAAAATTAAACAGACTATATACATCCAACAAGAGAATAATTGAGGTAATATATTCCAGGACAACCAAGACAGAATCTTATAGATACAAGCATATATAGTGCACATGCTAATTAATTTAGCTGCATCATCAGATCGGAAATGTTTATTCCGATAGCTGGACATACAATTAAAAACTAATATCAAGGAGATCAGATTATTACGAACAACATGCCCCTGGAAGAAGCAAAAATCTTCCTATACTGCCAGGAATATATTTGTAATATATCAGATAGGGAAGAAAACGACTAGCAAATAAACGCAGAAACATCAACTTTCCTAAATCCAAGATCCATCAATGCAGGCTTAAACCCTTTCACTGAAGAACCAAATTAAACGTTAAAACATAAAAATCTCAAGGAAAACTAGACATTCAGCTCGAACGCCAAGAAAAAATTAAAACTTGGTCCCATCTCAAAATTCGCCTTCATCAATCCATCAGAAAAAAGCTAAGATTCAACAAAAGAACACTAGTAAACTCCATTGATTTCCAGTTACTAACCTGCAATTGGCAGCAATCGCGGCGAGGCCGTCCGTCGTGAAACCCTCACAGGACGAGAGCACCAAAACTTTGAAACACTTAAACGACCTCGCAATCAGCTCGAGGCTCTCATCCGTCACCACCATTCGCTTGAGCCTGATCTCCTCGAGCCACGGATATGCCATCGACATCGCCCTAACCCACGGCTGCACGTGACCGCCCCAGCCCTCCGGCACGAGGTTGAAATCGGCGAAATGCGGCTTTCCCTTCATCTCCACCGCCCTCACCTCCGGAAACCGACGGATCATGATCTCCGGCGAGACCGCATAGCAGTTCCCGATGAAAACACGGCGGCGGCACCACCGCTCGACGTCGTACCAGGACTTGCACACGAGCGACGCCGCGTTCCGATCCTTATCCGAGGTGAGGAACCCAAACACGTGCTCCAGGACCTCTTCCGGGAACGAGTACGCCATGGGAGGGGCAAAATGGTAATTACACCTTCTGGATCTGAGAGTTTCTCTTGCGAAAAAATGGCGGATGAAAGCAAAGACAGATGAAGAAATTTATTTATTTTTATTAGTGTTTTTAATACATCAGATCTGTACTGTTTTTTTTAACTTAGAACTAAACTAGGGTTTGAACAAAAGAGCCCGATGACGACACGTGGCGTCGATAAATCGTAGCCGTCCGTTGAGAGGTTTGGGACATTATCTGGCCGAAGCGAAGCGAGACCGTAGGAAAATAGAAGAAAGCGGAGTATGGACTATGGAGTCTCTGTCTATCTCTATACGCGTCTATATCGCTCACGTGTCGGAAATTTGTATTTATTATTTCATTAAAGTGGGGGTGTGATGATAAAAACTTTAGCCTACTTCAATTTGATGAAATAAATAAAATTGGAGCCCTATGGATATAAAAAATAAAAAATTTCAAATAAAAAAATGATCGAAAGACCCTATCCCAGTAGCACCCGCTATTGGATAATCAATATCAAGAATATCTCTTGCTAGTGAATAAATAGTGAATTAAAGTTTATATGATTTGATAAAATAATTGATTATTATATTGATAATATTAAAAATAGTGATATTAGATTAAAATTGAAATCTATGATTGAACTGAATATGGATTAAAAGTTATTATATCCAATCATGCCCCAAATGTTTACATGTACATAAAATTGTTGCATATGTTAGTAAAATATAAATTGTTGTATAAAATAATACTAGTACGTAACCCGTGCGATGCACGAAATGTAAAATTTGGAAGAATAATATAACCTCACGTGCATTAGGATCGAAATTGAAATCATTAAAATACATAGGAACATTGTTGAATCATAAAAAGTTCGGTAACAATCATATATTATTAAAACTTCATTGTACACAACCTTATGAGTTTGATTATTGGTAACTCCTCATTATCACAAACTAATATTTTCAAAAGAGACAAATCCTAAAAATCAAACTAATATTTTTGGTGAACAAACTAATATTTTAGGATTTCTAGGATTTGTCTCTTTTTGGTGAATAAACTAATATTTTAGGATTGGTTATATGAATAAGGCTACCTGTTTTTGGTGTTCTTTTCATTCATTTTCATTCAAACAATCCGATAACTTGTATAATGAAATCCGAATCTTAAGCCGAAATATTTAAAAAAAGAGTTTTTAAAAATTGAAAAGTCAAGGCAATCAGTTCAAATTAATTAAAGGTCAAAGAATATCCGGTCCTTGAAATAAAGACATGTGCTATCATTAACCAAATATCCGGTTATTAATATAGAGTGGTTACCAAAAAATAGAACGCGATAAGGACGCTTCATAAAAATATCAACGGGATAAGGTCATAACAGATCGTTATACATTTTAACGATAAAAGCTCAGATGAAATGATTTATGATAATTATGTCGTAATTAATGAATTAATTAGATGTGTGAAAATGACATAATTAATGAGAACTGCGAAAAAGACATAATTAATGAGAAATGTGAAAAGGACAAAAACTTACCAGTTTTGTAAAATATTTAATGCAAATCCGACATTGACCATAATTTGACCTACTATTTTGGATAAATGTTACGACCTCCTTTTTTTTATAAATGTCATTTTGGCTTTATCAACAATTGTCTAAATAAATGACGTTTTGGATCTTTTGTACATATTTTTCCATTATTATCCTTATTTAGCTAATAAATACACTACGTCTTTTCATATTAACTTTTTATATTTTCTCAAAACATCCATCTTTATCCTCATTAATGAGGGTTATTATTGGCAAAAAAAATATTCTTAATTAGTGTGCAACTTCTCAAAATGACATCTATTAAAAAAAGGAGGGAGTAATTCTTATTATATAAATATAGATAACGAATAGGCGCACTAACTAATTATACTTTTAGGCGAACTGATGAACATTCATCAGTATAAAAAAAAAGAAAATGAACTCACTTAAATGATTTTGCTCTATTAATGCATGCTTATCATCATCCAGCAATGTCTAATTTTCACTGTGGTGTTTGTATTCAAATGNTGATGAGGGGGGTGAAAAAATGGAGTCCAAGAAAGGTGAATCTAATGATTCAAAATAATGGCAGTATCTTATGGATGGTGATTTGTGAGGGACCATAATGAAAATTACAATAATAACCTAGTAATTAGGTGCTTAGATGGGGAATGATTATATGAGATTGATGGGTGGACTAACTAATGATAATATATAATGGCACCAATCATATGAAGTCTCCCACTCACTTAACTAGCTAAACACATTTAATTCTACCCAATTGAGTTATTGGATACCTGAGCTGATTTGAATATATTGCTGATTATTTAACAAAAGAAAAATCTTATAATTTAATAAATTAGCACACTTTTCCTTGTCAAAGGAATTATTTACCTTTTTAGGCTACCATCTACCAACTTGTCTATATCATCTTTCATTTCATATGGACTTTTAATTTGTACATACAAATAGATAATACAAAACAAATACAACAATTCAAATAAATTATTTCAAGTCCTATTCAAGCTTATATAAATAAATTGCGTAAAAACAATATATATTATTTAAAGCTTCAAATAATTGATTAATAAATAGTTGATACTGTTTGAAAGAAACTAGGGGAAAACAGGTGCGGTCCCACTACATGAAGGCGCACCATGAACGAGAAAGTTCATATGAAGCTCAAGTGGGATTTCATCTCAAAACCAATTGGTGGAAGGAGAAGTAGTCCATTAGACTTATAAGGTGGGCCTATTTTCTATGTATGAACGATGTGACACAATTCACAAGTGATATTCTTAACACTGTTTATGGTTGAAATCAATAAGACTACTATGAAGTAGCTTTAACAATATTAACAAACAAGAATGACAAAAATTGAGTGCGAAATAACGACTTCGGATATAAATTGAATGCTCATAAAATTTATTTATTTATTAAGGGAGAAGAACTGAATGTTAGTGTTAACACACTGTCAATAATTACTCTAGGGGAGACAGTATTTATTCTCGATGATCCTCCTCAAGTGTCGAGGATGTTATTTATAAAAGGATAAGGTGATAAACAATATTATCCTAGGACATGCGGTGTGTTTTATTGGTTCGCTATAGAAAGTTGTCCGAATTGTTGAATTATTTTGGGCGGTGGAAACCGATTCTGTGTGGCAACTCTTTTTACACTGAGCCCCCTTTGAGCGGCGCTAAGGATGTGATTGGTGCTTATTTCTCCTTGGATGCAATGGACCGATGAATTCTTAAGGAGTGATTTGGCGTTGCATCCGGGACCTTCAGGGTGATGCCGAAATAAGTCACTCGTCCAAGTTTTCCAATGCAAAAATGGATTAGTCCAGATCGGCGTATCACGCATACAACACACACTATCAAGATTAGGATCCATCCAACGCCACAAGACGCCGATGAATATTTATTAAATAAAAATAAAACCTATAATGTAACTTTTATAATATTTTAAAAATTTATTATAAATAACTATATAATAAATAGAACAAAATTTTGTTTTGTTTATTTTATATTTATCTCTTTCAATTAATTTAATTTAATTTTCAACTATTATTTTTATCTTAAATCCAATAAATATAAGGTATGTTAGACTGGTTTATTTTTATCCAACTTATTTTATTTCAAATTTAATTATTCATTTTAATTTAAATTAGTTTGGTTAATAATATATTATTTTATTATACTTCACATTGTTTTATTTTATATTCTCTTATTTCTAGTTTATATTGTATTGCTTTGTTTTAGCGTATGCTACATGTTAGAAAATGGAAGGGGGGAAGTGGAGAAAACAAAAAAATAAATAAATAAATAAAAATTATATGATTCTTTTTCTTTTCTCGAATTCTTCAAAATTACATCTTACAAATGACACCATCATACGGTATATATAGATATAAAATACCCTTTAAACCCCTAATAAATAATAACTAATAACTAAGGGACATTTTCACATTCATCTTTATCTTCATGGATTTAATTAACTCATTTTCATGCACCATTATAATTCCTAGAACTTGACTATCAAGTTGCATGAATATACTCGTAGGTTCTTCAAATACATCCATAAAATAGTATGATATATATATAATTTAGTTTAATATCTCCTCTTACACTAAATTCATCATTCCGAGAAAAAATCTCAAATTCTCGAACACGTCGAGCTTCAACACTTTGTGAAGAAATTCACGACTTGATCTTGCGACTTCACCTACTCCAACTTCACTTCTTTCTTAGAGATACAATCTCAAATAAAATGGTACTTTGTATCAATATGTTTGCTCCTCTCATGAAATGCCGGATTCTTCGCCACCGACTTATTTCAACACAAATTTTAGTCAGACCTTATTGAGGAAAATTGAGTTCTCCAGCAAACTCCTTAACTAAATAGCGTAATAAACATATGAAGTCGTAGCTACATATTCCGCTTCACAAGTAGAAAGTGTCACAATAGGTTGCCTTTTCGAATTCCACATGAATGTAGAATTTCCGACAAAGAAAATAAATTCGGTAGTACTGTTTCGGCTATCAAAGTCACTGGGCCAATCACAATTGCCAACAAACATAAAATCTTGAGAAGCAGTATAGAAAATTCCGTAATAAATTTTACCTTAGCTATAGTTAAGAATTCTTTTTGCCACTTTCAAATGCGACAAAATAGGAGTCTCCATGTAGCGAGTAGCGACTTATGGGACTAACTCCAAATAGAATGGTCGGCCCTGTACAAGTCAAGTACCTCAAACTTCCCACAAGAATTTGAAAATATGTGGGATTATTTTTTCACCATCTTCATGTAAAGATAATTTTACTCTACATTCCATGGGAGTACTCACAGACTTGCAATTCTCCATCTCGATTTTTTTGAGAATTTCCTTTGCATAAGTTTCTTGCGAAATGAACATCACACCGTCTCATTACCTCACCCCAATGCAAGATAATAGGACATCAACCAAATATCCATCATCTCAAATTCATTCGCCATAGGCCTATTAATGTCATCGAACATCGTCGAGTATTTGCCCGTGAAAATAAAATCATCCACACACAAGCATACAAACAACATGCTGACATTTTTACTCCTTTTGTTGTAAAGAGCATGTTTATGTGGGCATTTTTTAAAACCATTTAGTCTAAAATATTGATCAATTCAACTATTCCATGTACGCGTAGCTTGCTTCAAACTGTAAAGAGTCTTCTTCAATTTTAGCACCTTGTCTTGTTGGCCTCTCACAACATATATAGACTTATCGTTGATTGATATAGACTTCCTCCTCCAAAACTTTATTTAAAAAAGCAAATTTTACATCAAGTTGGTGGATTT